CTCTCTCTCTCTCTCTCTCTCTCTCTCTCTCTCTCTCTCTCTCTCTCTCTCTCTCTCTCTCTCTCTCTCTCTCTCTCTGTGTGTGCGTGTGTGTGAATTATTCGTATGATGCTGCCTCTCTTTCTTTGACTGTATCTAGGAGTTGTATTGACGTGTTCAGTTCAATCCATATCTGGTGATGATTCCAGTCATGAGCTGCGCACTCCTGTGGCCTGCATCATTGGAATGCTGGAACTACTGCAAGCTGATGCACTGACTGAAGATCAGAGAAGCGGAGTTGAACAGATAAACTCATGTGCCGTGCGCCTTCTACAAATTCTCAATTCTATCCTTGACATCGCCAAGGTGTGTTCCTTACTTTCTCCTATGTGGGTTACGGACTGAACGAGTTTATGTCCAGAATCTCACATTTACCATGACAATCCCAACACAAACTGTCACATGATCTATGAAACATTCAACCCCAAATTCAACTTTTTTTTTTTTTTTTTTTTTTTTTTTTTTTTGTCTGGGTCCAGAGCTGCAAATAACCTCGCGAACACCCCCATAACCGCCCCCTATACCCTCATACACCCCCTCAAAACCCCCAAACCACCCCCGAACAACCTCATACCCCCCCAAATACCCCCTATACCAACCCTATAACCAGGTATGGCCTCCGTCCCCGAAGAACGGTTCTATTTCGAGATCTTCCTGCCGCATGCGCCACAGGTGGCCCACCAGGCAATGCTCGAACCCGCAACCTGTGGGAATGAACACACAGGCACCCAATCCATCTGGGCTACGCTGCGGATGCAGTGTGCAAATGACCCTAAGCTCGGCGCTCATAATTCACAATATCAATATTCAGTACATCACACCGGAGTGCAGGCTCGAAGATTCGAACCCACACCCGCAAAAGTTTCTCAGTGGATTTGGGCTGTACTCGGCCCCCGACTCGGATTTGAAAACAAATCAGTGGACGACTGTTTTCTGACTGGTCGGCAGACCGCCGACCGGTCGGCCCTACTGGTCGGCTGCAAACGGTCGGCGGTCAGCAGCTATGCAACCCTGGCGGTGAGGTATGTAATGGGCAACTATTTCGCAGGCGCTTCAGCAAGTCTTTGCAAATCAAATCGAAGTTTTGACCCCTATCCCTTTCAATGGTGCGAGAAGTTGTCTCATATATATACGGTCTTACCATGTCTATTCTATTTATTGTTTTGCGGTGACCATTAAGAATCTCAATTCAAGGGAGCAATCAAGCCTGGTCAGGGGTCCTTTGGCCAAACGGAAGGAAGCATGAGGGTGTTAATGTTATAATATTATTAATATATAATCTGCTGGGGGAAAAGGAACCGAACTGACACTCCCCAGAATGGATATGGAGCCGGGACCATAAGGGCCTGTTTTAAAAAAAAGAAAAAGAAGAGAATCTTCAGTTCACCAGCATGCCAAGTTTTGCTGTGAAATGTCAATGCATGTTCTGTTTGTAGTTATTCTGTCCACTTTGCCAATCAAAGTGAGGGCCTTTGCCTTCACTGGTGCAAAACTGTAAAAGTGCTTCACAGTCTTAGAGCTGCCTGCTAGGGACCTGTCCGGCCTGGGACAGCCTGGACACACGGGCATTTCTGGTCCCCAAAGACGTAGGCTCGCCCTGTTTTTTTTGGAAAGCCCATTCCATGCCTCTCTTGGAGTCTCTCTCCTTATTCAAAATCTTTCTCCCAGGCATGGATCTGTCCCTATTTTGACCAAGGTAAGGATTCTTGAGGTCATAAGGTGATTCCTTCCTAATCCTGTCCATGGTGTGAGCCGTAAACCACCATTCTCTTCGAGCCCCTCCAAAGCCTTCACCTGCACATGAGGGAGGGGTGTACAATATTTTGGAGTACCCCAACCTCAGCGATTTTTAGTTCTCATTTCCGTGACATAAAATCCTGAAATTAGGAATGGATGCAGGGTTGCATTCCTGCCGACCGCCGACCGTATTGCAGCTGACCAGTAGGGCCGACTGGTCAGCGGTCTGCCGACCAGTCAGAAAACAACCATCCACTGATTTTTTTTCAAATCTGAGTTTGGGG